TTGGGCACTGAACAGCTCCCCAGGGCAGTGGGCACAGCCCCAAGGCTGACAGAGCTCCAGGAGTGTTTGGCCAATGCTCTCAGGCACGTGGTGGATTGTTGGGGTGTCCTGGGCAGGGCAGGAGTTGGACTGATGATCCTTGGGGGTCCCTTCCAGCTCCGGATATTCCAGGATTATGTGGTTCTGTAAGGCTGATGGCATTGCTGCTCTCCTCTTCTCTCCTCTGCAGGGCCTGCCCAGTCGGGAATCCTGACGGACCGGGAAGTGGTGAGCCTGTTCCTTCACTTCACGGTGAACCCGAAGCCGCGGGTGGAGTTCATCGACCGCCCGCGGTGCTGCCTGCGGGGCAAGGAGTGCAGCATCAGCCGCTTCCAGCAGGTCGAGAGCCGCTGGGGCTACAGTGGGACTAGTGACAGGATCAGGTCAGCTCCTCTGCTCATTCTGCTGCTGATAGAGTCGTGTTCCTGAGCTTTCAGCCTGCTTTAGCCCTAAACCCTTGAGGTGTTCCACGCTAGACCCGGACTTCCACTATAGAAACCCCAATGGGCAAGAGTCCATTCAGCCCTGACAGGAGCAGCTGCCAGCTCCAAACACCTCCTGCCCTCAAATCTAATGCTCAGAGAGCTTTTGGAGCTTGTGTTTGACTCCAGGTTCAGCCTCTGCAGCATTAGGGTCAGTTCCAGCCCTGCATACTGGCTTCTGAGCAGAGGCTCTCCAGCCTGCCCCACGTGTTTGTTCTGCAAACACACAGGGCTGAAAGAGTTGGTGGGTAGATGGAGGAATGTGGTTGGCAGCTGAGCAGGCACTGAGGCTTCTGCTGCCTGAGAAGGTAGAGCTGTAGTGGAGCCGTGGGGTGAATGTCCTTCCCCTTGCTGCCTTGGGCAGGAGGAATTCACGTGCTCGGGAGTGACTCAATCTTAATTTCTGCTCTTGAGTAAATCTGGAATGCAGTAAATACCCAACAGCACATGAGCAATTCTCCAGGGCTCAGCAGTGAAATATCCAGTAACACTTCAGTGGTGTTTGCTGATACCTGACTGGACAGACCTGTGAGGGTGGGCACTGCACCACACTCCCAGGCTGCCCTGCCTGTGCCTGCCTGGCACCTTGGGATGCTGAAGTTTTTACCTGGAAACACTTTCTGAGCCTGGACTGTGAGGTTTGGTGGTGGGATTGTACAGCTTTGTGTTTCACATGAGCCAGCAAAATGATTGCTGGCCCAGTGGGCCAGGCAGAGGTGTGAGCTTACACCTGGTGGTCTCTGTAGAGGGTTTCAGCCACTAGTAACTGTTGGACTTACATGTGTAGTAGCTTTGCTTAAATCATAGGTGTAAAATCAACATGAATGAAGATCTTTGTGTTTGAGCCTTGTACTGAAGCAATACAGGAGTGGCAAGTTTGGGCTGACTTCCCTGCTCTGTTCCTGCAGGTTCTCAGTAAACAAAAGGATATTTGTAGTTGGGTTTGGATTATACGGATCCATACATGGGCCTACGGATTACCAAGTAAATATACAGGTAATTCTCTCTACTACCTTAAAAATCCTGTCTGTGGGGACTGACTGACCATTTCAGTTGAATATACAGCAGTGTCTGAAGTTCAGAGGGACTGTGTGTTCCTGGGCAGGGGGTTGGCAGATGCGGCGAGGGCCAGATGGGGCACTGGAGATCAGAGGGATTATTGCGCTCGGTTTTATGCGGCTCCTGTTTCACACGTCACTGCAGCAGCTCCCCAGGTCTGCTCTCAGCTTTGGGAATGTGTCTCAGGGAGTTGGGAGCCAGTTTGGGAAGAAGCTGTGCATGATTTCCCACCCCAAGTTGGCCAGGACGATTCTGCCTACAGGTGCTCCTGCACTTGGGTCATCTTTTGGTCTGAGCTGTACAAATGCAGTAGAGCAGCCACAATTCCACAAGGGAAGAGCAGAAGGGAATTGCTGTTCTGGGCCTGTGCAGTGCCCGTGTGTAGCTCCATGTCATCAGTGTCCCGTTGGGTTGATGAGCAGGCCTGAGGGAGCCTCAGTTGTCTCACATCCATTGGGATCTTGTCCAAAGACTGAGGTGGCTCATGGGGATCTTACGCGTCTGTTGTGGGTGCAGTTGTCACCCCAGTCTGGGTCACTGGAGAAGGACTGGCCCCAGGAGAGCTACTCCAGCACAGCAGAGCTGATGTCATGAGCACGGTCTGTCAGCACTTCTTCCTGGATTGTCAGGGGCTCATCCTGGTGCTGTGAGCTCTGGAGGGGAGAAAGATGTAAGCACAGAGTGTCAGCCTGCAGTGCTCTGCCAGGCTTGGGGTGAGGAGGGCTGTGTAGGACCTGAGCTCGCAGCTGTGCCCCAGCCCTGGAATTGTTCAAGGCCAGGTTGGACAGGATTTGGAGAAACCTGCCCCAGTGGAAGGCATCCCTGCCCATTGCATGGGGTGGAACGAGATGAGCTTTAAGGTCTCTCCCAACCCAAACCATTCTGAAATTCTGTGATCACAGCACTGATGAGGGACACAGGTAATGGACAGTGCAGGTGAACGGGACTGGTCAAACTGAGGGTGCCTCAGGTTCTGTCCAGCTGAGGGGACACAGCTGTGTGGGTGCAGTGCAGTGCTGTCACTGCAGGTGAAAAGGCTGACATGTGTTACAGATCATCCACACGGACAGTAACACAGTCTTGGGGCAGAATGACACAGGGTTCAGCTGCGATGGATCATCCAACACCTTCCGGGTCATGTTCAAGGAGCCTGTGGAGATTTTGCCCAACGTCAACTACACAGCATGTGCTACTCTAAAGGTACTGTACCAGGGTGGGGGAAGGTGAGGGCAGCTGCTTTGGGCCTTCAGTGCAACCCAGGCACACTCTGCCTTCTTCGAGGCTGGTAGTACAATCTCAAAGGTCTATCTAATCCTTCACCTGGTGCTGCCATGAGCTCGTTCACCACCAGCACTCAGAGCTGGTTTTTGGCTTGTCTTGCGGTACTGAACAGGTGTATTCTTGTTAGGAGCTGCAGTGACAGGACAAGGAGTAATGGGGAGAAATTGAAAGAGGGAAATTTAGGTCATATGTTTAGGAAGAAGTTTTCCCTGTGAGGGTGGTGGGACACTGCCAGGGTTGGGGCAGCCACAGCCTCCCTGGGCAGCAACCTGTGTCAGTGTTCACAGCCAGGTTGGATGAGCCTTGAGCAACCTGCTCTGGTGGGAGGTGTCCCTGCCCAGGGCAGGAGGTTTACACTGAGTGGTCTCTAAGGTCCATTGCAACCCCTTAATGTACTATGATACTATTAATGAGGAGGGGATGGCATTACCTTTTGGTGTGTACAGCTGAGCTGTCACTTCTGTGGCTTCAGAAAATTCGTATTTAGCTGTTGTGATCTGGTTAAATTAGTGTTAAGTTCTGATAGAGACAAGAACTGAGCTCAAAACACCTGAGGTGCAAAAAGGAGAAGGGAGGAACTGAGATCTCCAGAGCTCATTGCTTCAGACCAACCTTGTGGGCAGCCACAGGGCCCTGCAATCCCTAGGTGATCTGTTCTTGTCTCCCGTGACCACCGCAGGGTCCAGATTCCCACTATGGAACCAAAGGACTGCGCAAAGTGATCCATGAATCACCCACAACGGGAGCCAAAACCTGCTTTACGTTCTGTTACGCGGCTGGGAACAACAACGGCACTTCCGTGGAGGATGGACAAATCCCAGAGATCATCTTCTACACATAGTGCCGCTGCCGAGCCGGCCCTGGACTCGACTGCCCCATCACCTCCCAAACTAAATCTCTGGCTGAGTTTGACCACACCAATTGGAGCCACACTAGCCAAAGGTCTCAGTAAAATCATTTCAAAGCTCATGTTCTGCCTTGTGCTAGTGATGCTGCTGCTCTCAGGTGCCAGATGAGCTGGTGTCCCCCAGGCAAGCTGGTGTCCCAGTACCATTCGTAGGTTGTTTGTGGCTTGTTGTTCTTCACCTCCTGATTAACCCTCTCTAACAAGGTTTTTTTGGACTGTAATGAGTGTAGATGCTTTTCCAGCGGTCAGAAGCATGGAAACGAGTGGCTCTGGTTGTGGTTTCACTTGCCATGAGGAGATCATCCTGCAGATAGACACGCCCAGGGGCTGGGTGGCCTGTCCTCTGCTGAGACCAGAGGGCAGGGCTGGGCCAGCCCTTGCCCCTCCCTCCCACCAGCCTCAGCACACGCAGCCGCCTTCGAAACTCATGGAAAGTGGCCTTTTCCCTGAGGCTTTGCTGTTCCAGCACTACAGTCTTGAGGGAGACCTTGCACCCGAGCGCGGCAGGAGGGACGGTCGTGCTTTCCTGCTCTCCTCACCCACCGGTGACAATCCTCACCTCGCGCAGGTGCTGCCAGCGAGGTGCCCTCCCTTGAGTGGGAAGGGGTGGTGGCCTGGCCAGGCAGGCTCTCCTGCATTCTGAGTCCCCATGGTGCTGCTTCCAAACCCCATGGCACGTTTCAAGCGCAGGGTGGTGCTTGGCTCATCCCCGAGCACCCCAGCACAGGGCACTGGTCGTTCCTGGCCGTGCTGTGCCAGTCCTGTGCAGGGCACCAGGTTTGTCAGTGGAAGCAAGGAAGGGAGGGGTGGTGGCCTGGCCAGGCAGGCTCTCCTGCATTCTGAGTCCCCATGGTGCTGCTTCCAAACCCCATGGCACGTTTCAAGCGCAGGGTGGTGCTTGGCTCATCCCCGAGCACCCCAGCACAGGGCACTGGTCGTTCCTGGCCGTGCTGTGCCAGTCCTGTGCAGGGCACCAGGTTTGTCAGTGGAAGCAAGGAAGGGCCTGCTCCCCGGT